CCAGTCCACCTTTACCTTTCCTATTCCGTTTTCCCTCGCATTTCAAAAGGACCAAACACAATCGTTTCTCTCTCAGTTTGCACGACAGGTTACGCATCCCTCCCTTTTCCAACATCAAATCAACTGTCAATTTACTGACAACGAGAATGTTTACGCTATATTATATGTGACTACTAAACTATAGAATTTTTATTGGAGGAAAGTTACTCTAAATCGAGTAGATTTTACGTACTTCAGAGAGCGAACGAGAACACATTGAAAAGAAACTTACTAGCATTTTGTAGTAATCCGGCAGTGGGCCGTGGTACTTTCTCGGGGATATCGTCATCGTCGACGCAACAACTCCAAATCAGCCCTCCAGAACACAGATCGACAGGACGACCGCCACCGAGAACGCAACTGATACTAAGGCCGCAGTCGAAAGTTGCTCCTTTGTACGTACATGTTTGTGGTATCACTAAAACATAGTGTTCGCAGAGATAAACATGATTTTCTACCTTCTCTAAGCGAACCGATAGACAGAACAAAGGACGAATTCTTATATGTAACGCGCAACACGTCATTTATCTAACCACACTGAAATTTTTCTAGAAAATAGTACTCGTTGGGAAATGCTGACAAAATTTGGAAAACTTATAGGACGCGTTATAGACTGTGTATAGCTCGACAATTTCCAATACTTTCCCTTCATTCACAACATTCCGTGCATTCCCTGCGATTCCGAGACACACGTGCTGGTATTTCTCTTACTCGACATCGTGATTATGTTACGAATGAAAAGAAGGTAGTCCATCGTTTCACCGAAACAAGCTGATCGAACTTTACGGCGAAACAGTATTTGTAAGAACGAGTGTTATATCCGTAACTGTTTAGCAAAAAACGTATTCCAGTATGTCCAGATAAATTAAACGAATTCCACATTTCTTGCTCCTTTAATGGTTTTACATGTTGAAAAGAGACGTTAATCGCCGGCGTTTCGTGACTTTCTCATGATTTGCACATTAATGCGTGTAGGTGTGTACACGCACTAGATTTTATTATGACACGCTACATCGAATCGCGTGTTGTGTTCTGTCATTGTACTTTATATCGTCGTATCGCGTCGCGCCATGTTGCTGTCTTTCGGTCTGTTTGTTGAGATAAATACTCGACCGCTTTCGTTTCGACTCATAGTTTCGTAAGTGAAATCCTTAAGCCAATCTACCTAATGACGGTATCGCACAGTCAAGTAAAATATTAATCTTCAAGGTATTAGACATTGCTAAAACGCGATATATTCGATTAAAGTGCTGCTGGATTGTCAATCGTCCGTTGTCCGTCGTTTACCGTTTACCGTTTACCGTTTACCGTTCACCGTCTATCAGCTAGTATCTACCGTCGATCAACGATCGTTTGTCCACCGTCCACCGTCCACTGTTCACCAGCCAACTACATATATACCGAGTACCGTCTATCTAGTGCTCTCACTGTATCTAATATCTTCGAAAGTATAAAGATTCTCCAACCTTTGTCTATGTATCTCGTGTCGATTATTAATTTGAAATGTTTGTTCTTCCAACATACTTCTACCCAATATATCCATTATGTTGTTTTGAAGATCACTGTTATGACCCCGATAATCTCCGGTATAATTTCGTTTTTTCCTCAGTGCCTCGACAAGAATGGTACCCTGCTGCTGACTGTTGAATTTTCGCCTTCTTCCTTGACGATAACCGGCACTTTTAAGTGCTCGTTTCTTCAACTGATCCAACAATTTTTGCAAGTCATCGCCTTTATGACCATTCACCGAGTATCCTTTACCTTGATCCTGTTCATTTTCTTCCCGTAACTGTGACATGGTTGTCTCGTGAGATTCCGACTCGCCAGATCCTGAATCATGATTTTCGTTAAAAGGATCATCAGATTTGATCATACGTCGTCGTTCCTCGACAATTTGTTTCGTTTGATATGTATGTTCCACAGACGCAGCGTCCTCGAACGAGCTTTTCCCGCTTAAATGGCCCGATGAGCGTGGAAATTGATTTCTGATCTCGGGGAAAGTATTTCGAAGTTTATTTGCACTTTCGCTATTCTCCTTGCATAATTCGTTTCTTTTCAAATTGGAACATTTCGCTCCATCGATCTGTCGAACAGACAAACTAGGATCTTTCCTTCTATCGGTCAACTTGCTCACTGCCCGGCTATTTCCTAATCTCTTCACTTCCCTCCGTTTTCTTAGACTCAATCGTCTTATGTTTTCTGCTCGCAAGTCCACAGAAGCATGTTCTCCGAGGTGACGAAGTCTCAGGTCGTTCGTGGTCAATAGTGTCAAGTTTTCAATCTGTTTGTTGTTTATTAATGGCAATTTCCTAACTCGTGATTTGGAGAATAACTCGTAAATCTTTGACATAGGTGAAGAAGCAGAGGGTAAAATTCGACGATTGTAATTTATAGCATTATGCTCGCCGTATGCATCATAATTGCACGCATCAATGATCGTAATTAAAAACATGTACACGATAACAACGACTTTCATGATCCAACTTGTAGAATTAATCGAATAAATGATGTTGGGGCAAATGAACCGTTGCAATTCGTATCATAACTATTTCTACGGCAGTTTTCGTTCTCAATATGTACAGCCTCATCGAAAATCAAATGTATTTATTATCATTGGAAACTAGACGGATTCGAGATGATCCTAGAGAAGTATTGGACTATTCGCGCCATTGACATTTTACCTTTGTCCGATCGATCGATCGATCAATTTGATCAATTTGATCGATTTGATCGAATAACGTGTCATGTGACACTACGATATCAAAAACGGTAGGAATAGTGACACTTGGAGTCAACCGATCGGTTTAAGATCGGATGGTCGATGGACGATACGATTAATAGACGAATATTGCGTATGATGAACTTTTCGAACGTTTTAGTACTTTTAGGCTTACGAATTTATCATCGGCTCCCGTTGGGATTCTCTTTTACCGTATCGTTTTTCGTTTCAACTAACACGCGTCAAAGTATTTCACTGACTGAGGAGATTCAGCCGGCATCCAGAAGCGGTATTGCATTCGCGGCTTTCACCGCATCAGCTTTCCCATCGCAGCAACGTTGTGTCTTCCCCAACATTGGCTCCCCACTTCTTCCTTCTTCACTCTCTTCGGCTTTCTTTTCTTTTCTTTCTTTTCCTTTCTCTCTCCCTCTTCCGCCTTGACTCTTTCTTCGTGTTCCTTCGTTCGTTCGTTCGTTCGTTCGTTCGTTCGTTCGTTCCTTCCTTCCTTCCTTCCTTTCCTTCTTTCTTTCGTGCTGATTGTATCTTGTTCAAATACAATTGATCGGGAAACGTGTGCAAATTACAAACAATCTCGGACCTTACAGGTGCAGCAAAATATACCTAGTCGTATTTCGATCAATGTATCGAGAGCCAGCGAAACGACGAATCAAGATATCTTTGATATCGTTACAAGTCGAAGGTTAGTTAACATGGAAATTCTTTATTATTATCCGCAATCTTGGACAGATATATGTATGTAGATACGAATGATGGTAACGACAATCAAACGACTAGAGTAAACTTGGACGGACGATAGACAAATATCTTCCTTCTTCGAGTTAAGAATTCTGTTGTAGTTTAGGAGCAATGTAAAGCTATTCACGTGTATTGCGATGTACGCAAATGTTATGCAAACTTTTGTTGGGATAGTATCGTACGAAACTTACGACCGAGTTCGTCGAAAAATCTCATCTGTCCTTCCGAATCGACTGCGTTTCCCTGTGTTGGTTCCTCCTCCACTAAATCTAAAATCGAAGCAGGTAATTGCGTTAACGGATAATGCGTACAAGTATTGCAGGGTAACGCGGTTCGTGTTTCTCGGAAATATTTTCATCGACGCGTAGTTATTCAGATTTGCAAAATATTTTAAGAGACCGGCGTACACGAGTCTGTTGTATTCCCTGCGATTAATGGACTCACCAAAATCCCCTAAATACCGATCATTCCTCCTTTCAGCGCCACAATAATACAAGCCGATGAAGAGCAAGCTGAAAAGTGAGCGTACCAACGAGTTCATTTCTTTTCTTTCCCGACGATGATGTGCACCGATTAGCGGTGACTCGACTGTTTGTTAGCGTCGTGGATGTCGTTGTTCCTCGAAATATTACAAATTCTTAGCCAACACTAAACTTTCATAACGCTTCCAACCACTTGGAACTTGTACGTGGAGATATATATATGTATTCTTTGATCCTCTTTTAGACCAATTTCCTCTCCGCGTTCATCGCTCCTTTGGAAATGCGACGTTTAACGATACCGATCGAACAATTATCGCGACTCACGTTGTAATTGGTTGTCGGTACTCTTGTTGGAAACTTATTCGAGTAGAAGAATCGTACTGGTGCAAAGTCTGATTGATGGAGCATCGTCGTGTACTATTACAATTTTATAGCTGGATGTTTCCTTTAATGGATCGACAGGAAATATTCCTTTGGAATTCGAAGCGATCGCATCCCTGCCACGTTTATCACTCTTCGAATAGTACCGTGTACTGTGCGCTCAGAGTATTCTCGCAAATGACCGTACGATGAAGTCGGAATACAGAAACGAAGAGAATGTACGGTTTATCTCTGTCGAGAGTTCACTTTGACTTTTGGACAAGCTCGTGTCACAAGTACGCTCAAAGAATCGTTAAAAGCGCCCCGTCAATTCGATTTCCGAACTTGCTCCCCCGTAACGCGTTGTACCGTAAGTGCTCGCGAAGCGTGGCGAAGGCGTTCAAACGTAGTGTGGTCCGGTGGAAAAGTGGGTCGTAGAACCAGGTCACCGAGACAAGTGGCACACCGTTTCTTCGTGTGGTTACCTCGTAACTCGTTCCCGGTTCTCTTCCTCCCGCGAGTGAGCACGTTGATCTACGTTAGCGGTCCGCTAGCATTGCACCTTTGGTTATTAGTGAAAGTTAACCGGTAACTTTCGACTTTGACAATGATGACTGAACTCTCGAACACGTTGACTCGATCGTACACATGCTTCGCTGCGAACTGCTATCGTGTTTCCTCCTGTAAATTTCCTCCTGTCCTATCCTATCCTATCCTATCCTATCCTATCCTATCCTATCTTATCCTATCCTATTATCCTGCCCTATCATATTCCATCATCCTATCCTATTATCCTACTTTGTCCTATCTTATTCTATACTGCTGTACCAGTCGTCACTTGTTACACATTTCCCCCGAGTCAATGTTACAGAATCCGATTTAGAACTTGCTCTTTTAAAAAGTTCATACCTCTTCTCCTTTTTATCAATTTGCCGAACAAGACGATCGGAATTGAGAAGAAACCATAGTCAGTTCTTGGTCTACGTTCAACGTCGCACTTGATTCGTTCCTCTTTGTATTCGTACGGAAACTTTTGTTATGTTCCAAGTACTTGTAAACAAGCAATCTCTCTTATCAAAATGGTACATTTTCTTCGGCTTTTGACCATATCATGCTCGAGATTACCACGTGATTGTTTCTTTAGAAGCCATCGCACGAGATTACGAATGGCTCGAGAGAGCTTCGCGACACGCGATCGACTACTGATGAAGAACGGAAACACAGCATCCAAACACTCCTCTTGCTGTGCCGTCTTCTTTGTGCTTTCTCTTCTTCGTTTCCCCTCCGCCCCTCTCTGCCCCCACCATCTTCCTTCAGCTACACTCGTATACTTTCTCCTTTTCCTCCTTTTGTTTCTTTACTTATTTCTCCCGTTACTGAAACACATTCACGCGTGAATTTAATCTGAATTCCATTCTTTGATTCGGCTTCGATAAGCGACATCAACGCGCAATGTGTCTCTTCCAACGAAGGGAAAAACGAATCCAATGTTCCGCTAATTGTCAAATACGTTAAATAAATACTTTTGTTTTCGCAATCCTGCAACCGAACGAGTAATAAATCCTGGAAATCTTTACGTATATTTACCCTCGCAAAGTCTTTAGCAGTCAGTTCCTCGACCATGTCCACACCGCGATCATGTTCTTCGAAAGCAGCGCCGTTGTCATCAGGGTTGCCAGTGGTCAACTTGAACCGTGATTACTCTGCAGTATATACTGTGCCGGTCTATTATCTATTAGAAATTATTATGAAAGTTTTTACGTACGCCTTGTGGTAACAAGCATTGCCACTTTGACACGTTTACTGGCCGCCACTGACGCTTGTTACAATAATTTATACGTATAACTCGTAAAAAAGTACAAACTGGTACATAGGCAAGTAGTTGCAACGTTTAAACCTCGCTTGGTCGATAAAGAAGCGTTGAAACACGACAATTCAGTTTATCGATTTCTTCGCAAGATGTCGCCGTACGAGTTGATCTGTACAGCACAAGATTTTCGCGCCTTCGTCTTATACCACGTGTTCTGGAAGATCAAGTATTGGAAGACCGGTAGAATGTGTAATTGTAATAGAAATTAACATATTTGCATAACCGTTTCTACGACTAAAAAATGCCAATTTTTCTTACGGAAGAGTGACATTGTTTTATCGATATTTACGATATTTACGATACAAGCTTGGCGTCGACAGGTATCGTGGAACAGACGAAAATTCTCTGTTAACAACATTTTTACATAAATGAGATATTTCTTATTATTAATCTGATCGCTATTGATGTTACCATGTTTCGTTGCAATTCCTGTCTTTCGATTCATTTTCGTTTCAAAGTTAATCTTTCGGTATTTCTGTCGTTTGAAGATTCAACGAACGTAAAATTCACGCGGGAAAAACATCACGAACCATTGTTATCGCGTATCTTTTGTTTACAGAAGGAACAAGTGAGTTGAAAATCTTGGTTATCTTTCCCAATTTCAAATATATGTTTACTGGAACAGGTCAAGACCTTTACCTTCTCTTTTTTCATGAAATATTAACCTTAAAGGCTGGCGGTACTATGTCACGAATTGTTATTTTTGTAATTATCGACGCACACCATCTGCCGGACTTTGGACATACTTGGCAAATCATTGTCAACCGTCGTCATTGCCATCCATACCATCAGATGAATAGCAGGTGTGTTTAAAATTCTACTCGAGAAATCTTTTGTTTCTTTCTTAGGAGCTACGGTGCATAAAGAATCGAAACAACTCTTTCAGCCAAATAATGTATTGTTTCGTGTCATGTAGAAGATGAAAACTGTGGAGGGAAAAGTTGTTGCTGTGGGATCCCAAGGTAAATCTTCAATCGACGAAACATCCTAACCTATATGTGTATGTATGTATGTAGTAAGCATCGATATCCATGTTTTCTGTTTCGTCGAAACTACATTTCCGAATATTAAACGTATCCTTACCAGTGGGATTTCTATCGTTTTTTCAACTTTCTTCTCATGTTTCGCGTTTGGCAATGCATTAATGCATATCGCGTTAGTCTCTGACCGCTTACAGCATACCGTTTAGGTTAGTTTTCGATCGGTTGGTGCTTACACGCGTGCATCGCAGATACGTGTGCGCACGAATACGTGGGAAAAACCGCCAGGTCTTCTTGTGCCTAGGCTCGTTAAATTCTATTGTATACTCGACAGTCGAGAAGGACACTACAGGACTGATTGATTTTTCAGGTGTTGGAAAAACAAGTATGATCATTCGTTACATCAGGAAAACTCTGAACGAACATGTCGATCCTACGATAGGCGCGTCTTTTTTTACGTGCAAACTGAACCTGGAAAATACAAGAATTTTGCTCAAGGTATAACGTTGGTTCAATCTAAATAAGAACGCCGAAGGAATTGAACGAACCTATTTCAAGTTTACCTTTTTCTCGAGCGATTCATTCCGTCTGTACTCGTCGACGAATCGCGATACACGCGCGAAACTCATTTAATTCTGATAATTTCACCTCATAGTAAGTAATAGTAATCTCGGTGTCTCGAGTAAGTATTTCTATTCGAATAACACGCGTTGGTGAGCGATCGATGTATTCGACGGGCGGACCGTTAAAATGCGATCGAACGTCTTCAGAGCCGTGTCCGTTGGTTACAGGTCTGGGACACTGCCGGCCAAGAGAAATTCAGATCGATGGCACCGATGTATTATCGAAACGCGAACGCTGCCATGTTGGTGTTCGATTTGACTCAGTACAACACGTTCACGGCAATGAAGGGGTGGGTTGCAGAACTTCGTAAAAACGTCGAGGGGAGTATCGTGTTAGTCGTGATCGGAAATAAATCGGATCTGAAAGAGGAGCGGCAAGTGAACGCCGAGGAGGGTCGAATTTACGCGAGAAAAATCGGTGCGATCTACCACGAAACATCGGTGGTGCAAGACGAAGGCATCGATAACGTGTTTCTAGATATCGGCAGGGAACTCGTCAGTCTGTCGTCGAGCGAACATGTGACAACCATCCGAGTGTACGAGTCGAACAATTCGGCGGTTTGGTCCAGTGCGGACATGCCCGTCTCGCCAACCTTCGAGGGAAAGTCTCAAAACGTCAGTATTGCGCATAGGATGCACGAGAAACCGTACACATGCTGCTAATCCGTTGCCCCTAAGCTTCCCTTTGCTGCTTCAACTATTCTTGACCATCGCAGATTGTACAGTCGGATCGCGTTTTTGCGATCGTTTCTTTGCGACAGTGCGCCGGGCACACTGTATACACCTCTAACGTCTTTGGTTCGTTTATCCGAACACGCGATGTATTTCGCAATCAATCTCTGTAGTGATGTTCGCCTTGGAGAGCTCTTGTTACGTTTCAAACAAAATTCGATTCGTTTCATGTGTCTTTTAATTACTCTATGTTTTTCGAATAAAAATGAGAAACGTTCAATGGGTTCAATGCGTTCGTATAAATCGTGTAAATCGTGTAAATCGTGTATGGACAAGGTCAGCAGAAAAATACCACCTTTACAATTTATTTTCCTCGAAAATAGAAACCGACCAAGGACAAATTACTCGGAAAGCAAACATCTCCTAACGAAATTAGAGAGTAACAGCTTACAAGCCAAGTCCGGAACGATAATCGGAAGATGAATCATTCCGTCTATGGGCCAGGCCTCAGGAAGCGTGACGCGTCTCGGCTTTGTTTAACTTATCTCATTTTCGTTACGTAAGTATTCCCGTAGCAATCTTTTACACGGGCCTAGTGTCTATGGCAATTCGAAATAAGGACATTGGCACGCGTTTCCACGCAAGTCGCACAAACGAGCTTGTACGAATCGTATTATGTCGAATCGGTCGATCAAATGTTCGTCCCTCGTTCGAAATGAAGTTATTGCACATCGCGTACATATTCCGTTCCAGGCATATCGAATGTTATACTCGACAAATGAACCGATCAAACCGTTCCTTTTCAAACTGCTTCTATTATATTGCACGTGTACTGTCACGGAAGCACGACCTTACGCAAGTACAACTTCGAATTGGATGTGTGCGAGAAGAAAGGTGCGTAGCACGCTACAACGCTGTATACTCGTACTCGCTATACGATCAACTGCCACGCACAAGTACGTATACAATGTGCTACAGGTGTACGTTCGGAGAGTTTCTTTATGCTTACGAGTAAGAAAGAAGGGGACCAACAACAGAGAGATGATTCTAACGTAATATTCGCTTTAGAGAGCTCTTATTACGTTTCGTACGAGGGAGTAGTCCGACAGTTAGATGAGAACTTTGGTGAAGTTCAGATCTCCGATCGTATACGATACGATACGACATATTTCCAAGTGCCATGTGGATACCGTGCACAAACGAGCTCGAGTAGCTGCAAATCTTTGCGACGTCGCTGAATTCTGCGCCTGCGTTCTGTAGTACTCGTTTGAACAAGTTATTAGTTTAGTAATCGTTTCAAGCATCAGTGAAATCCGAAAACATGGTTCAATGTAGATGTGTATTTGTCTCGGCCACATTTCACGTGCTTAACATTATTGGACAATGTTTCCGATCGCAATGCCTAACGATCGACAATCGCATAGCTGCCGTTGGAAATGGTAAAATTCCTGGAATAATTCGTCTCAAAGCAAAAGTTGATCGGACCGAGTCCTCTCTGCCTTCTGCTGTTCAAAAACTGACATTTCTTCTCTTAGATTGTTACGCAAGGATATCCGTGGGGTCCAAGTTGTCTAACGTGGACATCGCTTCGCGAGTCGAGGTCGCAAGTTTAATGGAATGCGAAGAACACTGTTCGCAGAGTGAACGCGTTTGCGTTTCATTTATGTTTGGGTAAGAGCAGCTCCCGCGGGACCAAAACTATCGTTATACACACCTTTTGACACATGCACACACACACACATACACAGAGTTACTCTTTCTATTAACTTTCGAACTTGTATTAGCGTCGGCGTAAAGGGTAATGGTACTTGTGCATTGAGCGCCCGACAACCGGATCTGAAAAATCTGGAAATCGATCCCGATTATGACGTGTACGTGAAAAATCAACAAACCTCGCCATGGTGTAACGTTGTACATTCGTACGGACGTTTTCCTATACGCAACATTGGAAATTCCACCGTTGAACCTGACAAACGATTAAATACAAAAGATTCTATTACCTTCGTCGATGATAGTTCTTTTCTAAAATCAATCAAACCTGAATCGTCGCCGCTGCTTCGCACGATATCTATTCCGAGGTAATATCTGTTCCATCGTATTTTCCTTTTCGTTTTAATCCTTCATCTTTTCCCGTAACATTCAGATCACTCGCGAAATTCCATAACTTTACTGAAAAAGTCGACAAGCTAAAATGGAAACGATCGTGTAAAAAGTAAGATGTATTCCTAAAATTTTAAGAGGTAAAGGTGGCAAGCCGAATCAGGGAGTCGCTAATGTCTACGATCTATTCGTCGATCACGATGGCCGTTTTCCTTCCGGTGATGACGATCGTAGAGTCTTGGATATTCTCGCGAATAAGAATCAAAAGAAAGCATCGGGCAATACTTTTGGTGAGTCTCGAAACACACACTTCATTACATGCCTACGAACATTGCGCAACGGAAAAACATTCTACGAATGTTCAACAAGGGAGACAATTCTTCTTCTTCGTCATCTCTTTTCTTCCTCCACGCTTCTCCTCTAATCGTACAGGTTTTGCACAACGCATTCGTCGAACAACTAAAATTTTTAATTGTACCAATAGAGAAATAAACGGTTAAATGGTCGATCTTTTGAAAACGCATCGTATACAGGCGAATGGCAAGCTAGTTGAAATAATTGTACCGTATGTCCTCGATGTCCCGCGAAGGCTGCGAACAGTGGATATTGTTCGTAAAGAAAGATACCTACTGAATACATATTCAGCGTGGTAAGATGGCTGGTTAAAAAACTAAATATACGATATGTATACGATTATTTGGCCTGAGGAAAATGAAAATCTCTTGAAGCTGTACTATTCGAGCGTAGTAGTACGTTGGAAGTAAACGAATACTTTCGAACGAACAAACAAGTTCAAACTACGTAGGAAAGTTTATTCGTGTTACGTGTCCTTATCGCGAATAACTCCATCTCGTTAAAATCTTCAACGATGACGTGCCCCTTCCCCAACGTACGATTAATCCCTCCCACTATTTTCACAGAAACATTCACTTTTCTATAAAACCACGCACGACTGTGTTTTCTCCATTATTTCTTGCACGTCTTACAATTTCAATTTTGTCGACTCGCATGCCCGCAGTTTCTCTCGTATACCTATGTTGATACATCAAACATGTACGCTAGCAAATGTTTGAAAATACAATATAATTGGAACACCGATACACCCGAGCAAAAAGTGATACTATGAAATATCAACGAGACGAACAAGACGAGAATTATTCTTCTTTTAACTAACAGAGAAACTACTTTTATTCTCTTCGTACCGATTCCACGCATCAACAAAAATGTTTTTGAAAACGCGGTGGTGGTGGTGGTGGTGGTGGTGGTGGTCGTCTGTTGTGTTCTGGCTGCTCTCTCTCCCCGTCATTCAAAGTTCAACACTAACGTTGAAGGAAACTGACAAGAATGAATTTACACGTAAGTGTAGCAACGGCGCATTCTATGATAAATACGCTGACAAATAAACAATAATTATTACGAAATTAATGTTTATACTTGTATCGTATATTAATATACACGATGGTATGTGATGAAAATTTATTGTGCCATTTAGTTGTAACTTGTCATCGGAAAATGCATTCTGGTAAAAAGACGATGGAACTGCTGATCGACCGTGTCGTTGATTGTCAAAACGTGCGAGATTGCCATCACGCGTGCGAGCATGAAAAGACGTTCGATTGTAGAGGTTTTAACTACAGGTACGTGAATCAACAATTTCCAGCGATCTTGTTCTCGCGTTAAACAATATTTTTCACGTATTACTACTTCTTAAACGAAACCAAAGTATTTCAGCTATAAAGTAACGGCAGATTCTGTAATGTTGCTTCTCCGTAATTTTAAGGCACGAAACAAATGGATTAAAGGGAACATGCGAACTGACTGCCACACCATACTTTCGCATGAAACCAGACAGAGACTTTCTGATTGATTCTCGATACGACTACTACGAGAGGGATCAAAATTGTTTTCCTTTTGTGAGAAGCGACGGTTCTTTCGCTGGGAAGAATCGGCCAAATCTACCGTGGTCACGGACGGAGCAAGAGAATGCGAACAGTGATATTTTCCGACAGCCGTCCGTTTCGATGAGTTTCCCATACTACCAAACAATCTATCCGACAAGTCACGAGTTTACTCGAGACTTTCTTGATAAACACGAACCACGACCCAATAACCACGAACAATTTTCGCACAAAACTCTTCGCGGTGAGTACTTGCGTATCTCTACATACATCTCTGCACACTCTACACCATCTAGATGCATACTTTATGCGACACGTTTAACGTATCGACCGTTCGAGACGGGAACATTTTACGCTTATCACTTGCCGTTCTCGTTGCCGGTACGTTTCTCTTTCACCGTCTCTATCGTATTTTCCGTATGGAAATACGGCATACACCAGTACTTGCAGCCTCCCCATTATCAACACTCGCTACGAGGAAACGTTGAGCGTATCGATCTTGTCATTTAGGAAAGATAAATGCATCTTATGCTCCATAGATTTTCCTTTCCATCAAAACCCGCCCTCAAACTGGTACGGTAATGGGATGAGATCAGAAAGTAACTTGATACACGATGCCAATTCTTTCCACGATCCTCCTCGCATTGACTTCAACAATGGACTCTCAAACGTGAGATCTTCAGTTTCTCCTGCACACCGAATCGACGTTCAATCGTTACAACGCGATTTCTTTTATCCCCGAGGAAATGAGCATTCTTCCGACCAATTGTACAGTTACGGTAGCGCATTTGGATACGACGCTAATTACGTACCTTCCTCGAAAGAACAGAGTTTCGGAGGACGCGAGGTGACATCGACAAGGCCAAGATGTTTCATAAAGTACGCAACAGGTTCGAAGCTCGGTAGAAACGTATTACGGAAGTCGTGCCTCGCGCGTGATCCGAAGCAATGCGAACAACTTTGTATCGTCGAAACAGCCTTCGCGTGTGGAAGCTTCGCTTACAGGTAAGGGACTCGAAGGAAAACTCCGTTTCTTTCTCTACCTCGTACGAAAACGAGGGGAACACGAAAAACTTGAACGCACACGGTCACGAGCAGCCCGTGCCCGGTAAAAGCAGCATTTTTCGAACGATCTCGCGCTAAACACCGATATTCTACGATATAGTACTCCATGAAAAATAGATTTTATATACAATTATGCAACAACGTGTTGCAAAACACTCCAATTAACTGCATAGCATCAACGGTGACCCCGTTCTCACAACAGGACGCGATTACGAGGTCACCTCTCAACTTGAGCCGCACCTCGAATCTTCTCATCGTGCCTGTAATTATCATCTATTTTTACTTTCCGTTCTACGCAGACACAATCTACAAACAACGAATCCCACCGATAATTGTTTGTTCAGCGACCTTTCGTACAAAGACTTCGATTCTTACACGGATCTGGAGCCAGATCGCGATTACGACGTATACATAACGGCTCAAGATCCAAAGGTTTGCAACTCGAAAGAAACAACAGACCGACTCCCTTCGGGGGAGGAGGAATGTTTCTCGAGAGTGAGAAGCGGCTTTGGCATACCGATGGATATTACGAGAAAGTCAACGTTTGCGCAGAATTTGGGAGAATGTCAGTTCGCCTGTACGAAAGCGCAAGAATTTCTCTGTAAAACTTTGGTCTATGTGTACGGAACGATAAAGTACTCGTATCAGGAGCGTGACCGCCATCAGCATGCAGACTCAAACTGTTTTCTAAGCGATTGGCCCTCGGGGGAAATCGATCCGGTTAACATGCTCGATATGGACGGCGCTGAATTATACGAAAGAAGTAGTTTCTCCTATGGTTGCGGGACATATCCTTTGATAACGTCGATATCCGCTTTGTCTGCATGGTACGGCAAGGAATCCGACTCGGCCCTTTCGGATGAACCTTGTTACGCTCAGTATCATAGGCCATGCAAATTAATGCCTCACGCGATAGTGTCCTCGATGCGAGCTCCCACGAAATCAGAGTGCCGTCAAAAATGTTCATCGATGAGAAACACGGGTACGGTGCCGTGCATGTCTTTCAATTACATGTGAGCACACTGCTTTATTCTAACCAACGGGGACGTGTTTCCCCTGCTTTCGCGTCCTCTATAATCATCCAATATTATTCGCAGGATTACTGCCACTGACAGTGCCCGAGATAATTGTTGGTTCAGCGATATACCCGTCCAAGACCTGAGACCAAACTTGGACTACACCCACGACGGCAGTCATTTTCTCTATACGTGGAAAGATCTTGAACCATTTTGCGGGCTGTCGCCGAGTCCTCTTTACGAGACAAATGCCGCGCCAGTCTCCAAAGAACACGGAAGATCCTCGTTCCCTTCCACGTTCGACCGAGTGCTGCATCCAGAAATCCTGTTTGACGACAAATCTCACGGCACAGGGTCCATCTTCGCGGCTACGTCTCGAACGAGAGATAAATTCCAACCGAAGATATACGGACACGGTTACGAGGAACGAGAGAGCGATCACGAAACGGACAGTATTTTCGATAAACCTTTCGGTCGCTTCGAGCACGAGCTCGACTTCCACGTCCATTGTAAGTAAAAGAGGGTAGGAAAAGAAGGAAAAAAGAAAATCAACGTGACTTTTACCGCTTTTCTTTCGCATTACCACTCTTACCTAGCAAGGACACTCTCGACTTTCCAACGTTACACGGTAAACGGTCACCCTTGTAGAAATGGGACCTTTTGTCAGCGGAACGAGATCGTTGGTTTTTGGTCCTGTGAAATCGATGACGATACGGAACACGCTGCTTGGGATTATTGTTGCGAACCTGAACATAGATGTGGCTTCTCACAAGGATATCATTATCCGTGGTACACTGATAACGACGGAGCTTCTTTTCTTTTCTTTTCTTACAGGAAATTGCATCGATAGAATGTCAATATCGGTGCCTGTATGTTTTAGGTGCTACGTCGGTTCGAGTTACGACCAGTGGCGACCTTGTAGCGAAACATATTATCCCTATTATTTATCGAAAGATCGTTCATTCTACCAACAGTCGCTAGCAAACTCTGCGCGACATTGGCCGATCATCTATCAACACGAGACCTTACCGTCGGGCTGCACTCTTGGCAATATCACGGAAAGGAGGAACTTGCGCCTATAGAAACACATTCAATAATCTCCAGTAATAATCCGTATAACAACAGATTATTACCAATATATTTTCCGTTGATTCTCGCTTCCAACGCCTGTATTTGTCACAATAAAAATAAGTTTGCAACTTCGTATTGTACGACGTACAATCATATATAAATACACATGTTTTTCTATAGTTGTATGAAATCGTTTCTATGTTGGTTTACCACCTTCGATCATTTTGTGTTTACTCTAGACGTAAATGGCACAGCGAAACCTCCAATGTTTTGCACGGTCGGTAATTCATTGCAATGCTATCCTATACCTTGTCTGTGGTACTAAATACACCTACCCTTGCCCACGAAACTTTACATACGAGTATAAATAAAAAACAACAATATACCTTTGCAATAGAATGCGTTTATCAGTCCAAGATAATATTCAGCTGTTTTATGACCACCGGTATAGATACCATTATAACAATCCGCGATAAGCACTTATCGTCGGTACAATAGAAATTACCGGTTCATTTGTTCTTCGCAGAGAGGTCGCCTATATCGTTTTCATCTCGTGTTTATGGTACATTCCAATTTCATCGTTAGTTCCATTTCATTATCAAATGGTACATTATGTAGTAATTGTCCATCGTTACAAGCGCGTATACGTTATAGATTTTATTGTCGCATGTAATCTAATTAATTAATACTATTTCTTTACTAACTGTAACAATTTATTCCTGCTAACGTTGATATGGCGCCGTCACCGGCGCCGCCATAATCATTTATTTCCGAGATACACTGGAAACCCACTGAATAAATCCAACGAGTTGTTTGTGAGGAAAAACAATAAGGTGCGATTAGTGTTGTTAGAAGAAAATCGTTTCTCTTTCGGAACATTTAAACATATTGCTTGGGCGATAAAAACGTGTCAAAAAACGAGCAGCGGAAGCTCGGACGTACGATAAAAATTTACTTGTTACATTTATGCTATTTCTTTTAGAAAATTTTATACGCTTCTGAAGATTCGAGTATATTACAAAAATGCCGAAAACTCGATTAATCACACGTTCCGTGACGAATACCCGACCGTCTCACATGACTTTAAACTTGGAGTGTACAGAAGAACCGCTCAGTGAAGCGCAATTAATGTTACGATTAGAATTGAAAGAGAATTATGATAGGGTACGTTTCTCTATTAATCCTACAAAGCATTGCAATTTTAAACTTACTTCTATGCGATACGTTTAATTACTATAATTCATCATCCGTTTGTGTCTTGTCCCTTAGGTTGTTGCTACTTTGGATGAATTGGTTAAAGACCACGGGGGAAAGCTGATATGTCAGGCAGGCAATGTTAATGGTTATCAGTACACCTTGTAGGTATCATTTCCAATATAAATGTGTTCTATTTTTACAATTCTTGTTAACTTGGCAAACTTAGACTTTTATTTTCTTATATGTCAGACCTCCGAATCCAACGCCGACAGTGGTTAAAAATAATCCCCAACCCATCGTCAATGTAGTGAGTATCGTAGAAAATGTATACGAAACAAAACGATTACCATTAAGGTTTTACATTCGTAGCATTTACAGAATCAAAATAAGAATCAACCGCCCATTAAACTCAATGTACTGAATAATGCAAATGGTTCTCAGAGTAATATACAATTGGTCGTGGATTCGCGAATGGGAGTTATACTTGGGTCTGTAGCACAACCTCAAGGTAAGGAATTATTTGTCTAAAAATATAATAATAATAATAATAATAATTACAATGCTAATAATGGTGATGATGATGGTGTTGATGATGACGACGACGATGATGATGATGATGATGATGATGATGATGATGATGATGATGATATAATTATATGATGATAATAATAATGATGATGGTGATGATGATGACGACGACGATGGTGGTGATGATGATGACAACAGTGACGACAGTGACCATGATGACGATGACAATGACGATGACAACAACGACAACGATAATGATGATATAAAAAAACATTTAAAAATTGCACTGATTATAGTAACTTCAATGACCACTGCCCCATCGGTTTCAATATCTGCTCCTCCACCGACACCCGCGTCGACATCCACGTCTATGGCAACAGCAATGCCTACAATTACTCATTCTCAGACGGAAAATGTATGGAAAACGTTCAGGTTGCTTTTTTTAATAGAATGCAAGTTAACTACCATATTAAAAGCACACTATTCTTTTCTTAGTATAAATACACTCGATCCGGACGCAGAACAAAGGTTCTTCAAGCGCAACAACCTGACATAATAGAGGAAGTACGTTACTCGTAAATATTAACTTCTTTAATGTTTTTTGCTTTCACTTATTTTCTGACTCTGATTATGTATAGCCTGTATTAGTTACTCGCGGCAGACAAAAAGTTGGATGTCCCACGCACGTTGTTACACCAAGTAAGTTGTTTTACTGTCAAAAAATGTGTATTACATGTGTACGGAATAACGCCAGATACTAACAGCGTGTGTAAATGCGAAAATTTCGTTTCATTTTCAGCCACTACCAGTCCACAGGGTGTTACAAATCTCCGAATAAAAACTGTAAGCAAACAACAAATTACTCCAGTTACAGCATCAACCGTGGCCACCATAAGTGCAAATACAGGGACGACAGCGAGATTGTCCATGACGAAACCGACTGAACATACGAGCATTGGTGGAATATCAGTTGGCAATAAAAATGCAGGTTAGAGATGAAATTCGTTCAAAGTTTAAACTGTTGTGTTCTTATTCAATTAAACAACCGACTGATTAACATTAACGTAAATATGCAATTTTTCTGGCTCGAGATCCCCTTGGTTTCATGAAATTTGACGCAACAACGAGAACGAATTGGGTCAGTTATTTGATTTCAGCAATTCAATTTTGATTTAGCTTGTGAACAAATCGATGAATCAAAGAAGAATCTTCCAGACGGTAGGGAAGTAACTTTCAACAAAATGAATGGAGGTAGAACGTTTCCTTCGTTGGTTGTCGTAGCCAGACCTAATCTTTGCACAAAGGATATTACAGCACAGATAGCTCAAAAAGAAAGGTCGGAGTTAGGTATTTATCTAAATCCAGAAATAACCACCGATCGTTATATCGTTGTTATTGTGGTTATTATGTTATACAAACAAGCTGATACATGTACATTTCAGATAACAAAGTCAAGAGTGTACTCATGTTTTCTGCCACAAAGTTTGCTGAATGGCTGATCCAACAAGGTTTGGTAAAATCGGAGCAATACTGTGCTCAGCATAGCAGTAGTTATCAAAAAACCAAGTTGAAATTAGGAATGTACAGCGATCAAGGTACATTTCCGTACTCGGGAGGATACGTATGGATCTCGAGTTGCTGTCCCGATCGTTACGTATCGGTTTTCTCTGGTTCGATTTTTCAAGGTGCACCGTACACACCTACGGTTCTTTTGAAGCTAATTTATCACTGGGCCTGTCAAACGAACGTTCAAAATGTTGTTTCATGGGTTAAAGTGACCAATGTGTATGTAAAAAATTTCTACACGCATCTGCGTAGCATTTGTACAGCTGCAGTGTGGGATAAAACTCGTAAGATGGGGGGCAAATGTTCGGTGATACAGGTCGGTGTGATCAGTTTGGGTACAACGTCGCAAGATGGAAACTTGCGCCAAGTTAAAGTCGAAGTACTTGGCGTCTTGGATTACGCTACCCTGGATTTAAGATTGCGGGCTTGCGATCCTGTACAAGATGGCGATAGATCGTATAAAAGACGGTTTAATAATATTTTACATCCATTGAAAGAGTGGGTGCACACAGACTCTAAGATCATGACCGATTTCACCGTTGACAAAAGTACACTCGAAGAAATGGGTTTCAATTACGTGACGCAGTCCGCATTTTCCGAACAAGGTCCTCTAAATATTCTGAGTAATTATCATATTATGGAGTATTTGAGGAAAATTGTTCCAAGGATGTTTCAAAATACCCTCAGTTTGCTTAGCAGACAAATGATACAACAATTCTTGGACGAGTTGGTATGGAGAGAAATGTATGGTTTGACCGCTGCTCGAGCATTCGACAATATCATCGCGCATATCGCAGAGCAAACAAGGATTGATTGCAACGAAAGTCTGTTGGATCGTTTAGCTAAAATAGCTGCTAATCCCTTTCAGAATTGGTCCTATTCGAATGCGAATCCACCACCCTTGACGCCTCTCGCGACCATGAACAAGGATGAAATTCCAGCGGGATGCGATATATTGGTACAGTCGAATACCGTAGCGAGTAACAACGCGAATCAACAGCCACAGTCACAGCAATCGCAGCAGCAACAGTCGGAAACGTTGCCTTCTTTTGGCCAAACGACCAGGCCCTTACCGAAAAGGGGACGTAAAAGGAACGTTGCGATAGCGATGGCCACCACACCGAGTAGTCCTGAACCAGATGCTAAGAAACCTATGCTCGATCCGAAAGTGTCTACCAGCAAGGATAAAGAGAAAGAGAAGGAGAAGGAGAAGGAGAAGGAGAAGGAGGGTGGTGGGAAAGGTGATCAGATACAATTACAAGAATTTTACTATGCCACCATGGAAGGTGATAAGAGTCTCTTGTTAAAGGAACACAAGTGCTCGTTGTATTTCAAGTGTTTTTTGTGCTCGACGACCATGCGTACCAACACAGACGTAATGGAGCACACGATTAGCCACGTTCCACCTCAAGTGCCCGGCCAATCCAATTCACCGGTATGTAGGTACTGTTGTACAGCCTTTTCGTCTCAGCATCAAATGGTTACCCATGTAACGGAAGCGCACAGTAACTTTGGTCACTCGGACAGCGACATGGTTGTTTGCGCCATTTGCGAACAGAAATTTGGGAACGGCGGGCTTTTGGTCAATCACCTGTCATCGATGCATTTCCCCTCGGAAATGCCGTATCAATGCGAGAGCTGTGGTTACCGAACTTCCAGTCACAAGGACGCCATCGATCACTTTTATCGCGTTCACGAGAGAGGCGAAGGTTTGCAATGTCCTTATTGTCTAAAAGTGATACAGTTTGTGAGCGAGGGTAGTCCTACCGTTACCAGCGTTCATGCTTTTCTATTGCACATGCAAAGACACGTGATCAGGAGAGAACAGGGCCGAGGAAACAAGTGTCCCAGATGTTGTCTCTGGTTCAATCAAAAAAGTTCGTTGAAAGTTCATCAGAGACAATTGCACGACTGTGTTTCCGGCTCCAAAGTTGTTCCATATTCTAGTGGTAGTAATAGTAGTATACTGATACCGAAACAACGACTGCAGAACAGACGATTCGAGATCGATAGCCCAGTAACAGAATTACCGCAGGACGAAAAACTCAAGAAATGGGTGACAGGTCCGATCGTAGTAAACGTTCCAGTCGAACATTTGTCTTGCGAAGAGTGCGAAGAGGATATAGACGAACAGGATCACTTTCCCGGTGAACAGAGATGCCAACAATGTCGTTATATAACTTGTTGTTGGCGTGCGTTCAAAGAACACCAACAGCAAATCCATAACGAACGCCCGATGACCAGCCTCGTGGTCCCTTCTCCTCTCATTAATGTTCCGTTGGACAAACGGATGCAGTGTACATGCGGTTACGCGACCACCGATGGAAATCAGTTGGCTACACACTTGGTCAAATGTAAAAAAGTATCTGCCTATCCAATCGAAGATCCGGCACCGTCTGGGATGTTGGATAGTTTGGGTTTGGTTCCAAAAGCTGTTTCCGAGGAAACGACCTCTGACGGAAAACGGACTAATTTACGTTAAAGTTAACGTACGATACATTTCGTAAGATAACAAAGTGCTGGAGAACACGTGTTGGCGAAATACAGTTTCAAGATGCGATGATCTGTGTTTTTCATTCGATCCATAATCTCTGTAAAAAGAAAAGCATCGTAGGATACGATAACGACTCATTCAAACACATATTTAGTTTTATCGTACGATGTTCGTTGGAATGCCTCGAGTTATCGAATAAAATGAAATAATAAACGCGTATCTTTCGCATGTTCATCTCCTGTTTTACGAGGGTACAATTGTAACATAATATACCATACTATAATTATACCTGTATTGGTCGATTCGTTTCGCTACTTTCGATTTCTTCTGTCTCTTCCTCCCAATGAATGTACACATTGAAATAGAATCGCACGAGAGGCGATGCATTCTATTTCTCTGGCACATTGAAACATGCTGAATCTATTTGTCTCGCAACAAGAATTGTTTCATGTGATTCGTTCTGTCTTGTGTACCCTTCATATTAAAATATTTTTAATCGCTGATTTCTATGTTTATGTGATACAATAAACAGATAAATGAGATTACACGGTACGATGTTCGCTAGGCAACGAGAGCATTCGACTTGTTCCCCACCCATACACATCGAAGGCGACAGAAAGCTGGGGGCAGGTGGCAGTGGGTGGGAGAGAGAGTTAGAGAGAAAGGGATTAATTTTCTTAACGTTTATTTAGC